CTCCAACCCAAGGTCTTAAGTCATCTAAAGGCGAGTTAGTTACCTGGGCAACTTATGTATTCCAAGTTAAGCGACTCAGCCGGATTTCAGCTTTTATTACAGATTCGTTTTAGAGTAGTTAACCGTAATTGCAATTCAAAAAGCCGACAAAAACCAATTTATCTAACCCAATTCCAAGCTGTGGACCTTTCAGTAGCCGCAACAAATAAAGGCGCAAATTGAATTGAATTTGCAATAAATTTGGTTTCAAATGCAATTTTCCCAAAAATTCTATTAAACAGTTGCATTGAAGGAAATTTCATTTAAAATAATTACATTTGCAATGGGCGTTGAAGCAAAACAAAGCCTCGACCCGGTCGAAATTAGCTCTCCAGCCATAATCATTTCGAGCCAGCAATATTCAATGGTAAATCACAAGTCGGCAAATCCCAAATGAAAAACTTTATTACAATAAACAATTTACGTGGCAAAGGCAAAGGCCAAAAAGAGTTCTGCCCAACTAGCAGAATTTGGGGGGAAAAAACAAATACGGAATGAAAGTAAATAAAAGGGTTGGGCAACTGGGCCACGGCAGGAGGTAAATATTTCTTGGCCAAGGCTTTTCTTGCTATTGAATAACTTTTTTGCTTAACAATCGATTTACTCTGACTTTGCCACTGTCAGATGAATTGTTTGGTTATATGTATGCCAAATAGTCTAAATAATAAATGTGCACTAACAGGTTGGGAATCGTGCATATGGAAGAGAGGAAGGTTGACTAAAAAGAGGTTAAGAACATGTGTAAAAGCAGTAAAAAGTTCCCAAGGTAGTTCTACAAGGCGCTGACTGGAAGAAAAGTGTGAGAACGACTTGACTTTGGGATATAATTATTTAAGTTATCTATCATATTATTTAGCATCTAACCAAATATCTTTGACAGAGTCTAACAGGGTATACAGGGTCCAATCAAATATGTGTTCTATTTAACAGGATCTAACATTTGTCGGAATGGATATCTTTTTTGTTCCGCATAAAGTGAAAGGAGGTTCAAGAGGAAACAACGTTATCACAGGATAACCTCGAACGGACAGCTGAAACGGTCTTCAGCTGCTTTTGACCCACAACTTAGTAAGGCTTTGCCAGACCTCTGGCAACAGACGGGTTTTCCCCCAGACCTTATGGAAAATGGCGTGGGCCTACACCAAAGAAATGATCAGGCAGGAATCGGTAGACTTTGACAAGCTAGGTTGCCTATTGATCCCCTGCTAGAACTAGAGATAAGTGCCTGCTTGCCTGCCTGAACGGTCAACCTACAGTCAAATATCAACAATGTGACAAAGGTTGTTGTAGGCTTGACTTGGAGAAGGACAAAATGAATATGAAAGTCCAAAAAATAAATGGGATAGATGAAAGCATCTGGGCAAGGAGCTTGTTTCCCCCGCTCTGGTCAGGGTTTCTCCAGCTCGACTTCCCACTCTCCTTATAAAACCCCGGACGCAGTAGAACCTTCCGGTCGAAGTGCCACTCCCGCCCTTCCACTCTTTTGTGAGACTGCCTTTAACTCATTATTGTTATTGCCATTATTATTATTATCTATAATATTCGATGAACAAACATCTGATAATTCGCTTCTCATTTACAGGGTAACTCTCTTATGTGAAAGGCAGTTAAGGAATATTTCAACGTTGTCTAACTACAGGTTCAGCGAAAGATTAACGATATTATGATAAACGTAATATTCATAACAAACAAAAAACTTAGCATATGCATAGATGTAACTTTATGGAGGAGCATTTTTTTTCGAGCGTCTCAGAGGGGAGCGGACCTTTTGGGGTTTTGGGGCTTTCGAGTGCATTTGCTAACTACTTAAGCTGCCAAAGAAAATTTCAATGCCATTTGTCTTGGCGTCGCATTATTTTTACTTCTCCTTAGCTGGGAAATCAAATTGACAGCGACAGGCCACAAGTGGGCTGGGTTGGTTGGTTGGTTGGTTGGTTGGTGCAGCAAAAAGTTTGGCAGACACGTTTGCGGCAGGCACTTTGGCATGATTAGCGGGTGGCAGGTCGGACAAGACAGTTGCGACTCAGGTGAGACATGTCATGTCACTGGGCGGCGCAGCGAACATAAATCTAAGCGAAGATGAAGCTGTTAATGGAGCGGAAGCTGAAACTGAAACTGAAACTGAAACTGGGAGCGAAACTGGCAACGGGGAGCTGCGTCCCGACAGTTTCCAGGCGAATGCCCAACAAAATCTGTGAACTTTGCCAGGTTGCGTTCTTTTTGCCGTGTTGCGGGGGTGGAGGAAAGTTGTGTACCTCATTTATTTATCAGAGCGACTGCCCACGCTGTAAAGGTGCAAATGTTGCAGATGATTTGGCCGCACAACAGGATTTGGGGGCGGGGCTGGTCGTGGTCGTGGTCGTCGTCGCTGCAGCTTATCGAGCCGGACAGCTGACAGTTGTTGCGAATGCCGGCGACAACAATTTTCAAGTGCTTCGCCGAGCGAACCGCAGCACACTTCAAACATTTCCTCTGATAAATGGCTGCCTGTCATTTGCTGGCAGGGCAAGGGAGGGGGGGGGGGGGGGCGGACAGGTGCTTGTTGCCAATTCAAGGCGCAAGCACGCAAACAGCAAACATGGGGCCACGGGTTGCCACGGCAACAAGCGGCAAGTACTTTAAAAATTGAATTACATTAGACGCCACGCCTCTCACGACTGCACGAAGCCTAAGGGCTTAGCGGGACTGCCAACTTGTTGGGTTTCTTGATTGGAATTGCCAACTTGTTGAACTTTTATTGACACACTTGACTGTTTTATTGGGCCTGCCAACTGGGCTGCTTTCAACGAAGACAGCAAAAGTTTTGCACTTTTTTTGGGCTGGCAACTTGTTTTGTTTCTTCTTATAATGGACCTGCCAACTTGTTGCACTTTTGTGGGAATTTTTGGTATTTTATTGGGACTGCCTGACGTTGATTTCCGAATAGCACTGCCAACTTGTTGTCTTATTGACTTTAATATTGGAACTGCCAACTTATGGATTTTGTTGGGACTGTCAACTTTATTCGTATTCTATTGGGACTGCCAGACTGTTGATTTATGCAGAGGCCTGCCAACTTCTTGGGCTTCTTTGTTTGGAACTGCCAACTTGTTGATTTTCCATTGAGATATTTGACAGTTGTATTGGTACTGCCAGAAATGTTGCACTTTTTTGCGCCTGGTTACATATTTTTAATCAACTGCCAACTTGTTTTTTCGTATTTTATTGGGACTGCCAGACTTTTGATTTATGAAGAGGACTGCCAACTTGTTGTATTTCTGTATTGGAGCTATACACTTGTTGATTTTTCACATAAAACATTTGACACTTTTATTGGGACAGCCAACTAGGCTGCGTCTAACATAGACATCAGAAATGTTGCACTTCTTTGGGACTGGCAATTCTTTTAATTTTTATAATGGAACTGCCAACTGGTTGCATTTTTATTGAGCCGTCCAAAGCGTGGAACTTTTTTGTGAGCTGGCAACTTGTTTCGTATTTACTGGGGATTCCCTGACTTTTAATTGGGACTATTAACTTTTTCGTATTGGAACAACCAACTTGATTTTGTTTTGAGACATTCGGCGCATTTATTGGGGCTGCCAACTAGATTGCTTCTTTCCGAGACAGCTAAGGTGTTGGTGTTTTTTTTTTTTGGGACTGGCAAGTTGTTTCTGTTTACTTATAATGGAACTGCCAACATGCTTGTGTCTATACTGAGACTGTCAACATATTAGATTCCCATTGAGATAACAAAAGCTGTTTTATTTGGGCCAGAATTAGGTCTAAGAGTTTTGTAATATTGTGTGAATTTATCACACATCTGCCATATGTCTACAAATGCGTATACTTAATATTCTATATATATATTTTTTTTAATTTACATTCCAATATTAAAAGCTTAAGATAAAGTTAATTCAAATAAGTTCCCTCGATAAGTAAGTTCGTGTATGGAATACTTTTTTGTTTATCGAGATGTCTTGGCCAACCGACATTAACTCATTTAAACTACGCTGTTTATTTATGAGCCAAGTCTTATCAAGATTGCACTACTTTTGAGGAATAATCGGTCGAAAGATGAGTTTTCGTGTGGCAAAATATTCTGTTCTGTCAAGATATTTTCATCAAAGTCAACATTTAGAAGTTTCACTATCACAAAAATGCTGACAATTTTAGAGAATTGTTTCTCTCGGCATTATTTGCTAGTCAAAATTTGAGTGCAATGCTCTGGCCTTTGGCTTAAATTGGCAGCACTGTCTAACATGGCCAAAGCCAATGCCCAAAAATGTATTTAACTTGATTATCAGCTGTGGCCCGAGCCATCCAGAGTCGAACAGAGTCGGGCTGCAGACACCTCGAGATGGCCGGCAGGAGCAGAACTTGAGGGGCAAATCAAATTCGACGCTCAATTAAAATTCAATTTGTTGCGCGCCATTAATTAGATTCCCCTCCCCCGCTGTGCGGGCGCCCGCAGCAGCCCGACGAACTTTGGCCAAACAAGTTTCAGACAGCGCCACCTGCGGCACAGAGCCCACGACCCCCGCCCCCGCCCCCGTCCACCTAAATGCAATTTTTCTCAGTGATGCTTCATTGAGCTGCAGCAGGGCAAATGGAGGCGGAGGCGGGGGGTACTTTCTAATTAGTGGGCGGGGGTTGGGCTTGGGGTCAGCTCTTCGACACTTCAATTAGTTGTAATCTATGCGCATAAATTGCGCAAGCTGATGGATGGCCCGCCAAGAAAAAAAAGACAGCGGCAGCAGCAGCAGCAGCATGCAACATGTGGCAAGGTGTTGCGAGCCCGGGTCCAGGCACGCATAAATTACGCAACCCTCGTGGGCTACACTAATTGTTTATACGCCCCCCCCCCCCCCCCCCGCCAGCTGCGTCCGCCCTCCCTCCCTCTCTCTCTGCCTCGCCCTCGCCCTCGCCCTCTCCCTCTCCGAGATAAACGGTCAATGGCTTTTGGGCACAACTGTACTCACCTGCTTCTGCAATGTGCTAGAGAGCTCCTCGAGGCACTCCTTGCGCTCGAAACGCTCAAACTTGAAGCTATTCGAGCGATAGAGCTCATTGTCCTCGCGTCTACGATTGCGGCACAGGCGACGCGTGATTATGTTTCCACTTCCGCTCAAACGGGGGCTAGCAAATAGAAGAGAACAGAGGGGGGAAGGGGTGGAGTGGGGGGGGGGTTTTCTTGTTATTATGATAAGCAAAGGACAATTGTAAAAAGACGATTTCTTTTGATGTTTGTTTGTTTTTTGAATGATCGATATATGTTTTCGATTGTTCGATATATTTGTTGTTGATCGATACATTTTTTTATTTGAGCCGAATTGGTCGAAATATATTTTATTGATTGATATATTTTCATGTTGATAAACATATATTTTATTTATCGATATATATTTTTTTATTGATCGGCATATTTTTTAATGATTGATATCGATATATTTGCTATTGATCGACATATTTTTTTATTAATCGATATATTTGTTATTAATCGATATATTTGATATTAATTGATATATATCTTATTGATCGATATATTTTTATTGGTCGATATATTTTGCGCAAAACCTAAACTCAACCTAGCCCTAACCTAACATTTACCTAACCTCATTTGGGCACCTAAGACACTTTATTTATTTTCCAAAGTATTTAGTTTAAAACTAATTCTCATCAAATAGAATCAGATTTAAAGATGGGCTATGATTCCTGAAACAGGTAATTGTAGTCTAGTCTAGTTCTCATGGAAGAGCATAATACGTAGGAATTTCTGTAATATTTTGAATAATCCTCGACTTGAGTACTCATAGTTTCAGTCCATTGCAAAAACCACCCTAACCTTAATAGGCATATCACATTTCAGACAACCCGCCCACTGCCCCCTTTCGTTCCGCCTTCTATCTTAATCATATGCCCAAAGTTTACAGTTTTGAGCTGGTTTTTTTTTTTTTTGGCCTACCTCCCCCCCCTTCCGAATGTGTCACATCATTAACTCAGCCGCTGGATATTACTTGTCAGCACGGGCCCAAAGCTTGTCATTGCCCCCCTCCCCCCTCCTCCCCCCCTCCCCTCAACCTCCAGCCCCGCCGGGCCATCCGTTCGCACGCTTTGGTGCCAGCACCTGGCAAGAAGCTCGTTAGGCAGCGCTTCATTAAAATTTGACACATTTGGGACGGAGGCCGAAAAAAATAGAGGTAGAGAGGGCGAGAGAGGGCGAGAGAGAGAGGGAGATTCTCTGTCGACCTGGTGTCGGGTTAAAGCCGCAACATTTAAAGTTGCCAACACGGAAAATGTCGTCGACCCAGTTTTGCGTTTGCATTTGGGTTCATTCAACGAATGACCCCGCCCCCTCAGCCAGGCGCCCGCCCTCGCAGCGCTTCAATGAAACCAACTAACCGACTCACCGACTCCAGAGTCCGTCTTCAGACGAGGCGAAAGCGTTTGACTCAGGTGAGAGTGCTCTAAGCGGAAGTGCTCAACTGCGAGATACCCTGTAGCCAGCTCCAAGTCCAGAGCGACTCGCTGAGGCTCAAGAGATCTGGACTTCAAGATATTCTGTACGCAGAACTGAATCGAGAAGGGTTTCCAGAGCGGCCGACAAGAAGCCGAGTGTGCCCAATAAGAAGATACCCTGTATGTAGCTTAGACAGAAGGACACCCTCTAACCATGCCCGAGTCGAAAATACATGACAGGAAATTACTTTGTACCCAGCACTGAATCGAGAAGTCAGAAGAACCTAGCCAGAAATCGCAAGGGCTCGACATTGAAATACCCTGTACGCAGTTGGGAGAGTTGAAAATTACCTAAATTAAAAGACCCTGGGTCCAGCACAGAGTCGATAGAGCCCAATTAGGAAATATCCTGTACCCAGCTTCGGATAGCCGTGAAAAGTATTCGTAGTTCTAAGACACGATCCCAACATTTTCGAGCTCTACCCAAGTAAGTCGGATTAAGCATCGATATTTATCGAATTTATCGCAAACCTAAAGCTGCTCTGCTTTTGAGATTAGAGCATGTATAGACTTCATTTTGTGTGCGGCTTAAGCTTTAGAATTTGAGACAAAATGGAAGCGATCAAAACCGATCAATATTAATTCAAAAGCTATCGATAAGAATCAAATAAACTTAATTTACAAAAAGTAATAGAAAATCGGACATGCCTAGCTTAACAAATCTACAAATCGATAAATTGGTAGGCAATCGATATTTATCGTTAATATCCAAAAAACCAAGATTGCTAACCAAAGTTTATCGAAGTTTTCCAAAATCTAAATAATCGTGACTTGTGTACGCTTGAACTGAAACGAAGTATCAAAAGTTTTGAAATATGTTTTTAAAAAAGGTTAATCGAAAATCGATATTTATCGATTTAGGAAGAACTGAATGGGTAATTAATGAAAATTCGTATCTGCCTAAATGACTAATGAAGTTTTTATTCAAGCTCTCTCTCTCTCTCTCTCTCTCTCTCTCTCTCTGTGGGGAGAGAAAAAAGGGAGACGGACTTGAGTGTTCCGCTGATCAAGAAGATATATGACTTAACGATTTCGAAGACAATTTCTTCTTCCTACTTTATGGATGTGCACAACTTCAATATACCCTTTGTACTCGTTTTATGGGTACTGGGTAAAACAAAAGGCTAAAACTCGACGCCCAACAAAAGCCACAAGCCACTGGAGTAGGCTCAAGTGTCGGCCACTTGGCCACTTGGCCACTTGCAACTGCAACTTCAACTACAACTTGATCCCGAAGTCAACCTTCGGTTGGGCACTTACCCGCAGGGCTTGCAGTGCGTCATGTGCAGATCCCAGTTCAGGTGAAAGTTGAACATGCGCAGCTTGGCAACCGCCCGCTGTCTCAACGAGATGTCCGGCGCCGTTGCTGCTGCTGTTTGTGCAGCACCCGCAGCTGCTCCCGCACCTCCTCCCGCCACTGCTGCTGCTGCTGCTGCTGCTGGATTAACGCCCGCTGCCAGCACTGGAGCACGCTGTGCATTCGGATACATCATGACGGTGCCGCTGGGCGCCGAGCTGGCAAGCAGTCGATGCGATGTGGACACGGTGCCGCTGCCATGATGCCCATGGCCATGTCGATAGTGCTGATGGTGCTCCTTCAGCGTGTAGAAGCCACCAGAGGAACTGCAAGCAGGAGTTCATGTTAAAGCTGACGTTAAAGTAAAGGCTAAAGTTAAAAGTCAAATTATTGTTAAAATCTTGCTATTATTAAAATATACTTATATCCCGGCCTTGCCCGTTGTACGTATCAAATAAATGATCTCAAAAATCTTTGGAAATGAGTTCGAAACCGATCGGAAATAAACCTTTCATACAACAGTTTTCCGCGAAATTCCCCAAATCGCGGCAAGACGTATTCGTTAGGTTCTTACGTAGAGCTTTAAAACTTAGTTTGAAGCAAATGGAACAAAGCCTAACAACAAGAATATTGTTGCCAAATCGATTTAGAGGCCAAACCATGAACAAAAAGATATGACCGAGTTATGGGGGTGGGAAATATTGACCTATGTCTATATACGATATTTGAGGGTACCATTTATACATGAACTTTGACCAAGAATAATGTTGCCAGATTTAGATGCCAAATTGATCTAGAGGCCAAACCATGAACAAAGAGCCAATCCGCGTAAAAATCGGATGAGATTTGGCCGAGATATGGAAGTGGGAAATTTTGACTTATGTCTATATACGATATTTGAGGGTAAAATTTTTACATGAATTTTGACCAAGAATAATGTTGCCAGATTTAGATGCCAAATTGATCTAGAGGCCAAACCATGAACAAAAAGCCAAATCTCGTTAAAATCTAATGAGATTTGACCGAGTTACGGGGGTGGGCAATTTTGGCCTATGTCTATATAAGATATTTGAGGGTAAAATTTTTACAAGAATTTCGACCAAGAATAATGTTGCCAGATTTAGATGCCAAATTGATCTAGAGCCCAAACCATGAACAAAAAGACAAACCTCGTTAAAATCTAATGAGATTTGACCGAGTTACGGGGGTGGGAAATTTTGACTTATGTCTATATAGGATATTTGAGGGTACCATTTTCAGCAAATTTCAGCTTCGTAGCTCTCACGATAAGGGGGGTTGCGTTGATCATTAATCAGTCTGTCAGTCAGGGCAACCAGTTTTATATATAGAGATGTGTATAAATGTATGTATGAATTTGTCGCTTTATCTAAGCATCTTCTCAAATTTATAATATGGTTCGGTTTAGATGAGCTACTGGATTTGAACCGGCTTCCTTGCTAGCCAAATCTAGTTGTTTTATTTAAGATTTGGTTATGCTAAATGGACAATAATTGGTATTAAAAAATGTGGCTGTACTTACGACATGTTATCGCCACCGGCATCGCCCACACAGCTGGTCACACTGGCCATGCCGCCGCTGCGACGCGGTCGGCTTTTGCGTCGACGCCGCCGCCGACGCTCCGAGGAGGCGGTGCGCGTTTGCAGCACATGTTGGCTAAGCGATTTGTGGCAGTTGGACGGCGGTTGGCCGCTGCTGGCCAAACGTCGCCCGGTCGCATTGCTGCCGCCGGCTGCGCTGCCGCTGGCGCTGGCGCAGGGCAGACCCTGTACGGCGACCACAAGCTGCGCATCCCCAAAGCCGCCCGCCGAGCTGATGGTGTCGCTCGACTGCGGCGTTGCGGCGCCGGCAGCAGCGGCGCCGGCAGCGACGGCAACCGAATTGCTCGGCTGCGACTGCGACTGCGAATGGGATTGGGATTTGCTGTTGCGCAGGCTGTGATTCACTTTGCGCCACATGCGTTCCATGGCGTCGGATTTTGTGCGGATGTTTCTGTTATTTTTCTATTTTTATAAATTTTCGCTTTTTTTTTGTTGTTGTTTTTTCTTGAACTATGCAATTTTTACTAGCTACTGGGGGCGGCTCTGGGCAGGAGCTAGGAGCTGTAGTGGAAGTTATTGTTGCTGTTGTTGTTGTTGTTGTTGTGGTTTTATTGTTGCGGGGTGGCAGTGTTTGGCTGTTGGTTTGTCAGCTGTGGCGCTGTGCAGCAGCCGCGTCATGCCTGCACACACACAGACACACACACACACACACACACACGCACGCACGCACACAATAACAAAAAGCTACTCAGCAGGAACTATGCATTATTGTTGTTGTTTTGTTATTAGTTATTGCTGTTGTTGACTGTGGATTGCGGAAGCAGAAAACAAAGAGCATGAATTGAGTTTAACCAAACACACACACACACATACAGAGCATAACGGCGCTTTATATGTGTGTGTGCGAAAACTTTTGTCATACAATTTTAGGTTAAGCACGCGCTTCACTCATTTCGTTAAGTCGCGCCATTGTTATTGTCGTTTTTGTTTTTGTTTTTGTTTTTGTTGTTGCTCCTACTGCACTTGTGAATGAAAATGAATTGTGAATTGCAGAGAGCAATTGAGCGAGGCGCATACAGACACACGCACACACTCCCACTCACACACACAAACTAACTAGCTGCATGCACAGCTCTATTTTATTCAATTTATTTTTTTTTTTGTTTTCTTTTGAACTGGATAACTTTTCACTTAAAAAAAAGTGAAATAAATAGCAGCAATTAGCAGCAGCGAAAAGCAACAGCGACAACTGAAACTGCGAAGATGAGTATCACAACGAAGACGGCGTCAGCGACGGCGACGGCGACGGCGACGACACACATTTCACGTTTTGTCTAATTTTGCGTTAGTAATGAGCGGAGAGCGCAAAAAAACGCCATCGCCAACACACACACACACACGGGCATAGCAGGAAAGTAAAACAGGAGAGTTTACCGTCGCGTTGGCAACCCAAAGCGCCGCATTTGTTGTCGCCAAGCTGTTGTTGCTGCTGCTGCTGCGCTGCTGCTGCTGCTGCTGCTTACAATTCTATGCTAGAGCTCTCTATGCAAGCACAGTGGGCTAAAGCTGCACTTTGCAGCTGTAAAAGCTAATTGAAGACTGGTAATTAAGAGGGCTTAAGAGAGCGGTTTAAAAACTCAAGGAAATAAGTGAATGCAAGGCAAGCACAGCTTTAATTTTAGAGCTAGCTAGCTAAAAATAGCTAGTTAAGCATATTTATTGGAGTCTTGCCGTTAAAATCTTGAAGGACACGCTTGAATATTAAGTGAGGCCATAAAGTGAGGAACTGAACTTCGAACATGGAATCCGGCAAAGAGAACGGGTGAGCTTTTGTGAAATTTTCATTAAGGGGCTTAAACCTAGGCAAGCCTTCATAGAGTATTTAAGAGCTTAAGCTCGCGAGAGAAATTGCAGCTCTATGTGCCTAATAAGCAATGAGAGCGACTGGCGAGTCTGGGAAAGAGCAATTATGAATAAATTGGTGATCAACAGACGTTTAGCAAAAAATAATACAAAGAAAAACAGAGTAAATTAAGCAATTTGCGCCACTGTGCCTGCACAAACAGGAGCTGTCCAAGTGCGCTCTCTCTCGCTCTCGCTTTTCGCTCTGCCGTGCGTGGGCGCAAGCCGTCGCTGGCGTCGTCGTTGTTGTCGTTGTTGTTGTTGTTGTTATTGTATGCTGCCACGTCCTGTGTATAACACAAACAATTTGCGCTTGACGCTGTAACGGAATTCCTTGCGAGAGAGCGCGTTGGCAAAGTCATCAATTGATACATTGAGGAAAATATGTTTTAATATTATTAAACACTTTTCGTTGTCTACTTTTAGGCATGTTAACAAACACACACACACAGTCAACGGAAACGGAAGTCTTTGTCAATTTACATTTTATTTTATCACAAACAACGAATTTCGCTGCGCCTTTTTGGCCAGGAGCAGAGGCCTCTGCCCGTTTATTGGCAACGCGCACGCACAAATAAAGCAGCCACAACGAGCAATGCTCAACACTGACACGGCAGCGGCAGCGCCGCATTCCGTTACTCGCGCTGCCAGGCTCTCGCGCGCTCTCTCTCTCTCTCTGTCACTTGCTCTCTTTGCAAAATGTAAACATTGAGGCTGCTTTCTAAGCCGGGCAACTAATTTACACTTGCAGCCGTCCGGAAAAACTTTAACTTAATTAGCCAAATTTATTGTTCTCTTTTATTAACTTTGCAGTTTGCCTTTTGCATAGCTTTTACTTCTTATTTATACATTTATTATCGATAGCTATGCTGCTGCTCTGCTGCCAAAATATCGAGTGTTGTGGGAACACAAACGGGACATTTTTGGGATATTCCAAGCGGCATTTGTTAACCGCACACAATTGCCCCCTGTTGTTAACCGGCGGCAACAGCGTAAATGAGCGCCAGATGGCGCCAGCCTGGTATTTGTGGTAACGCAGCCGCAACCTGCTGGGACATTTCGGTAAATATGGAATGTACCGTAATCAGTTGCTGGAATGTTCGAAGCAGCCGCCATTCAGCACAGTGGAGAGCCTTAAATTATTAATCTATGCAATTTGATGTGAAAATTGAGAATGTTTTTATTTAAATTCCAGTAATTTCTTATTCAATTTTGTTTTTATGCTACACTGAGCTGGGAAAACAACTGTTCTACTCAATACCAAGTGTTTATTGTAATGGTAAACACAATTTCATTCAAAAATCGCCGCCCATATTAAAACTTCAATTTCTATTTTATATTTAAGTTTTCTTCACTTTTTTATATAGTATTTTTAATTGGTTTGCCAGTTGGCTGCCATATTCATCAGATCTATCGTAATCGTTATCGGTAACTTTATCTTTATCTTTATTCCTCTATACTCAACCTTTGCCCTAGCTCTTAAAGTGTGGCATAAAACAGCTTGAAATATTATCGATATACTTTGTATATACGCGCTATTCGTGATGGTTATCGTTAATCGATATATCGATTGGGTTGCTTGAAAAGTTTGCCATTGCCACACCTATACACACACATATATATGTATATATATATATTATTTGATCTTGATCTGTTAGTTTAAACATTTAGTTGACATCGAACATACACACACAAGAAATGCCTTTATACGGTTGTTTTTTTTTGTTGTTTTTTTCTTTTTTCTTTTTTGTTTTTGTTTTTTGTTTGTTCTTCTGCTTAGATAGCTTGACATTATATCTGATAACTGTATCACTACGTTTTACACACAAACACACACGCACATCAACTTTTACAAAGGAAATTTCTTTAAGTTACAGTTACTTGCGCTCTTTCTCGCTCTAGCTGCTTTTCGACTGCTCTCTTTCTCTCTCTCTCTCGCTCGCTTTCTCTTTAACTTACGATTACTAAAACATTGGCCTATTGCTCAGTTTTACAAATTACAAATTTCTCCACTGTGAGTTCTGCAACTGCCATAGAGTTGCCCCACTGTGCGCTGATTGATACCAAAAATGTACCCAGTTTGCAGGGTTGCCATATAGTTTTGAGAAGAGTTCGTTTTGTTTTAGTTTTTTTGTTTTGTTTTTTTGTTGCTTGGCGTTTTATCACAAAAAGTGTTTACGAAGTTGTTAAACAAAAGCTAAAGCCAAGAAAATAATAATTGAAAAGTAAAAAATAAAAATACAGACAAGACAGGAGACAGTCCGTTTAAGTGGTTGGAACGGGTTCGGGCTGGAACATGGAACTGGAACAGCGCCTGCTTTGATTACAGCTATGCATATAGTCTATATATAAATTGTAATGTATATAGCTTGACTGATTTAATATATTTATTTGAATTTTTTATTTCTCTTTTGATGTCATTTAGCTCGTATTTGATGTGTGTTTAACGTTAATCTAGTGAAAATCGCTTGCAACTGCAAAAAATTCTACAGCACACACCTAACCTCAAACTTGAAGATTTTGTGTGGCAACTGTTTTTGTATGCTCTTTCGGCTTTTGATTCTACAAAATGTGTGAATTTTTTTTTTTTTTTGTGGCACCTTAAAATTTGCTTGATGCTGCATGTGTTGCGTTTTTCAACACAGTGTTGGTCCAGTGTTCGAAGTGGCCACTTTTGTTCTCTTCTTCTTCTTCGTGGTTGACAAAAAATCGCTTAAAAAAATTCTTGTGAATTTTTTACAATTTTAGCTGTGCGCCAAAGTTTGCGGCAAATTTTTTTTTTTTTTTTTAAAACAAACAAATTCGTTTTGCGCTGTTGCCGTTTTTCGGCGCCCTTAAATTTGGCAACCGCGCGCATATTTTGTTGCGCTCACAAATGCCGTTTACTTTGATCTTCTTCTTTGTTTTTGTTCTGCTGCTTATTGCAACAGTATTTAAATTACGTTCTAAATGCTGCAGCCCTTTGACCCCCCCGCGCCCCGCCCCCGCGCCCCACCCCACATTACTATATTAGTTGCAATTTTTCTCTTTTCTTGTTCCAGTTAAAAATCGTTTTTTAAAAATTTACGTTTTGTATTTACGTATTAGCCAATTGAGTGTTACCAATTTTGTGCTCTTCTCCTTCTTCTTCATCATCTTCTTGTTCTTCTTCTGCGTCGTGTTCAACATCAAATATATTTCTATTTATTTTGCATACACATATATATGCACATGTATATATGTATACACATATATGTATGTATGTACGTATGTATGTATGTATGTATGTATATATATATATATATATATTTAGTATTCCGATTATATGTACAATCTTTAGCATAAAAACTGGTTTTAAATTAAGTAAAATTACAATAATAAAAAAAAAATTATGACATATGTGTATGTGTGTGTGTGTGTGTTTAACGCATAGAATAAAAAGTTTAAAAGGAGTAAAAAAAAAAATTAAAAGAAAATAAATTAATGCATTAGTAAAAAACTAAACAGGCTTAAGAAATGTTTTCCGTTTTCCGTTTTTCTTTCTTTTTTTTCTTTTTTTTTTAAATAATTTGCATGCGTTAACAACAAAAATCAGCTTAATTTGTAATTTAGGTGTATCAAAAAAAAAATTTGTATTTATATAAGTCGACACATATATATATATATATGTATATGTATATATATTTGCATATGCATTCAGATATATATTACGTACGTTCATCGTTTTCATTATGATTTAGTATTTGTTGTATTAGACTTAATTCACTTTACTCTCAATTACATACATATATATATATATATATATTATTTATTATTTTCTTTAATTTTGTATGCTGTGTGTATTCTTCCGCTTTTCTAATCTGTTCATTTTTTTCACTTGGCTAAAATTAAAAAAAAAAAAAAACTCTTCACTCGTCGCTCGCAAAAGTATGCTACAAATTATGCTTAAAATAATTTTCTCTTCTGATTTCTCGCTCTTTATCAAAACGTATTTTTGCTTCTTCGTTTTCTTGCTCTTTTGCGGCATCCGTTGCGAGCTTTTGGTGTTTTCTCTTGTTTGCTTTAAAGTTACAAATTTGTTGTTTTTCGTTTTTTTTTTTTTTCTTTTTTTCTTTTGTGTGAAACAAATTGCATTTGTTTTTGTTTCGTTTGTTGCTTATGCCTACAAATGTTGTTGCTGTTGTTGTTGTTGTTGGTCGTCATGGACAGAGCGCCAGCCAGTTGCAGGTGCTGCCGGCGACGCCGGCGTCGCGGCTGACACAGAAAAAAAAATTGTTTGCCAACGCTCGCTCAATACAAAATTGACGCGACTGTCAGAGACAGACAAATACATAGTTGCTAGAGTGCGAGCGAGACAGAGTCGGAGAGAGAGCGAGCGAGCGCGTGCTGCAGCCTGTGATCGCCAAGCCATACACATACATACACACGCACACGCACACGCACACTCCCTCTCTTCACCACACTCCCTCGATCTAACGCATCTCTCCATCTACCGCTGGCTGTCTGGCTCAAAAGTGCTCCAAAGCTCTACGCAGCTTTTTACAATAAAATGGACATTAAGACTCGCGCTCCTTCTTCACCTTCACCTCCTCGCCCAATATGGTTGTGATTTCACCTTGCATGAATGCCCACGGTATGGTGGAATTGGCCAGCGGACAGCGCTCACCACTGGGACAATACACCTCATTGCCCAGACCCTGCAAGAAAAGATGGAAAGAGATAGCATTAGTAACAGTCGAAACTTTGCACTCTCTCTCGCTCTTGACTTACATTTTGACGCTTGATGCTCTCGCGACTGCAGGGAAAACAGAACTTGTGAATGTTCACCGATGGGCACTGGACAAAGTGTGTGTCCTCCAGACGCTCCTGGCACAATGTGCACTTAAGTGTGGCATTTTGTGCCGCAGCCGCTGCGGCCGCCGCTGCCGAATTGGGCGCCGCACTGCTGCCAGGCGCACCGCCAAGGCCACCTGTGCCGCCGCCCCCGCCCCCGCCGCCGCCGCTGCTGCTGCTGTTACTGCTGCCCATGCCAGGCGCACCTTGGCTGCCGCTGCTGCCCGGCCCGGCGTTGACTGAGCCGCTGCCATTGCTGCCGCTCGGTCCGATGGAGCCGCCATTGCTGCCGCCAGCTGCGCTGCCATCGCCCGCCACCGCATTCGGATTGGGCGGCAGCGAGGAGGGTCCCGCGTTGCCATTGCCAGATGCAGAGCTGCCGCCAACACTGCTGCAGCTGCTCAGCTGCGAATTGCTGGCACCGCCCGGCCCGCCCATTGAGCCGCCGCCGCCGCCAGCGCCACTGCCCGGGCCTAGGCCAGCCGCAACGGCGCCCGCTTGAACGGAATTCGAGCCGCCAACCTCGCTGCTTGTGACGGTTGTGCTGGAAACATGGCGAGAGCCCGAAGAGCGTCGACCCGATGAAGAGCCTATAAAGGAAAGAGAGAGGGAGACGGAGTTAGTTTCAATTTAACCTCAAAGCTTTACAGTTAACTCATTTACCCGAGCTGTTGGGCGAGTGGACACTGCGCGGGGGCAACGGCCCCGATGGCGGGCTGGATCCATTGC